TTTTTTTTATGTTAATATGTTGTGCTTTATTTTGTTACAGTGAAGCAATGAAAAGTGAAAATGCCAAAAAATGTGATGCTAGTTTGCCAAGAACAATTTGTGTGTGTGTATGTGTGTGTGTGTGTGTGTGATTCTGAAAGTGAGGAACTAATCTATACATCTTAAGCCTTATAATGTAATTGTGAAGTAGTTTTCAATTTTCTGGAATTAGTGTAAGAATGGCTTAGGACAAACATGAATCATGGATTCTTATTGAGGATTGGTTTGCTTAAATGAGCTCAAATTATGTAGTTCAAAGCAGTTGCACTGATGTGTAAGGTGAACGGTGATTAATCTGTGCTCGTATTGCAGAGAAATGAAGTGCAAACCAAAGGAAATACCAGGGAAAGATATTCCCAAGGAGGACAAGCACTAGAACTATACCAATCCTGATATAGCCTTGTTCAAGAATCATATGCACATTTTGACTGTTGTGCCCTACTGCCTGCTAATATTCTTAGAAAGTAGGATTATCCAAACTTGTGTTACGTGTTTGCATTTTCCTACACGTTGCCATCCTTTCCCTGTTGGAATTAGTGAACATGTGTAAAATATACACAGTTGAACCTCGGAGCTTGGTTTGGGTTGAGTGGATTTGGATTTAGTAATGTAATTATCAGTTCTTTCTCACCACTTGGTAGACCATTTTATTTATTTATTTATTTTTGATTTGTGGTTATGGCATCTGTTTACGTGTTCTTGTCGTCAGGTGCTCTGTAAAATGCGTATTGTAATCGAAGATGTGAACTACTGAATGTATATATTGATGAAGTTCCAATGGGGGAAACAAATAGATAAATGTGCAGCATAAAGTTCAAATAGGTGAATATGGATTAAAGTGCATGAAAGTGATGAAGTGTCTGCAAATTTTCCAGAAAACTAATTTCGAAATCAACGTGGGGATTATGCTCAGAAGCTGAATAACTGTACTTCTCAGATGATGCAAAAGACAGTCACTTTTAGTCCTGCAACTGAATTTCCTAGTTATACACGAAACCACCTAACCTAAGATCTACTATTATTCATTCAAAGGTTTCCAAGTAGAATAGTGTCTTTAAGAAATATTTTGTATGGAATGATACCATTTCCTCATCAAATACCTATCCACTTGGTATCATGTTTTTAAGGGTACTAAGTCTAATTCACAGGATAAATCTGCATGTGGTTGAGAATTTGCTCAAAATTGTCAATGGGTTTGTCCACATGATGCGTATGATTTCCTTCGTACGTGGTCACAACAACACTCTCATCTCTTGATAGTCGCTGCACTTGCTTCTTAACGTTGCATCCTTGGTGCGTGCACCTGTAGTAACTTCTGCAACACCATAAAATTTACCATTTTTTTGATTTTACTGTCATCTATGCACATTAACTTTTCTGTACACGAATGAATATTGCAAGCCAAAGAAATCCATAAACATACTGTATTCCATCACAGAAGATACCTTCATTCTTTAAATCAATAGGTCGTTTGTGCAACATATATGGACTGCAAAACATTTTCATTACAACATGTATATATAATACTCGATTATGCATAAATTTGGATTTTGTTTACTCATTAGTCCTCGTTATTGCCCCAAATTGTACATATATACAAGAAAAGAATTTCTAACAAAAAAAAAAAAATCAGGCCAAGAGTGGTATTATACAAGGCTCCAAGTTACCTGTACTTTGTTCAATGTATAAGTAACCTAAAAGACAGAAAGAATATTTTTGTATTACCTAGGAAAATTGTTGCTCTTCACTTTCTTCTGACCGTACTTTCTCCACCGGTATCCATCATCGAGTATATCAACTTGGCTCCTCGTCTGGAAGGCGAACTTGTGCTTTCTAGCTTTCTTTTCGCCTTTCTTGATCTTGTATATCCCATTAGTTTCTGCAATCTTAACACTAGTATTATTAAACAAATGATGATCACTAGCAGACTGTGGCAGAGAGAAAAGGTCGATTTCCCTCTTAAAACCTGTCAAAAATCCATCCAAGTCCCCGATGTTGTTGTTCTTGTATGGAGCAAGGGACAAGGAAGCTGGAATATTAACCCCGGAAGAAATGTTGACAGAAAACGTTGGATGCGTAAAGCTCTGATTATCCATTAGCAAGAAATTAAAGATGCTTATGCAGAAATTTATGGTGATACCTTGTACCAAATGAATGCGAAAGAAGGGTATTATTATTTAAACATATATATATGGAGAGTGCTAAATATAACTGAAAAATAGGCTTAATAAACCTAAATATTAAAATATGTTACCTGCTAGGAATAATTTAATGTCCAGTAAATGGAAAGAGGCTGCACATGACGTGTTAAATGTAAAAGAGTAAAAGCTTGCATATGAGAAGTGAGAATGTTGAATTTTGTATTGTTTAGAAAAGTCCCGAGTTATGGAAAAATAAGGTGGCGGCTAGCTTTATTTGAAAGCTGGTATCTGAGAAGTGAGAATGGCGTTCAAATATATTAATGCTTCCTTTTTCGAGTCATGTCTCGTGGACAATATAAAAAATAATATAGAAAATGTGTTATCAATTTTATTTTTTTTTAATCAATAGAAATGGCTAAAAAAATGGAGAAAAAGTTATGAATGAAACTAAGTCGAGGCACGTGAATTGACTGTTGGATATTTTGGTATGAATACACGGGAATCCTACGAACTGATATTTTTCAGTTCTTACAAATAATCTATAAAATAAAAAATTACAATCGAACTGAAAAATTAAATTACAACTGAATAAAAAAAAATATAACGGAAAGAATAAAGCCGAGGCGAGTAAAACTCTTTCCGCAAGAAGAATACGCCCCGTGTGGCTGCTAACGGTTCAGGCGTAACTTCCCCAAAGATACAACGGCATACGTCTCTAAATCTGTAGCACACAAGATTTACGAGCTCCAGCGAACGGGAACAGAATCGAGAATTGAACACTAAAAATAAAAAGATATATCATGAAACAAATAAAATTATTATTTGTTTCTTCTCTTTTGATATTTTTATGTCTGGTATTTAGACATAAATCTATCTTTTCTATCTTTTTCTTTCTCTCTCTTTTCCTAATTTTCTTTTCTCTCTCTGCTGAATTCTCTTTTCTGCAAAGTTTTGTTGTCTCTTTTCTATGTCACTTTACTCCTCCACAAAACACGAATATATATACATGATAATGAACAATTATTAGGAAATAAAATATAAGAGTTGTTTGATTTGGTGTGGAGTTGATGGAATATTACTTAAACAATAATAACACTCATCATTTGCAACATAAGTTGACTAGCTTTACCGAATATGCCATCAACCCACATAAAATACAAACATATTTTAATTAACACTCAATTTTTAACTAACATTGACGACGTTCTGTTTATTAAGCGAAACGTCCCAAAAATTACCTATGATTTACAGCTACTTCATCCAAGATACAAAGATTTTTGACTTATTCTGTACAATGATACAACAAATACAAGTGCCTTTGACAAACACCATTATATATTGTTTCAAAACTGCAAAGAATAAAATAAATACAAAAAAATATATGATAGGTGAGCAATGAACTTTGTGAAATTAGTGCAAAGAGCATTTATGGAGATCTGACGTACTAAATATCGATAGAACCGCTAGTGGTCGTCGGCTCCGACAGCAGGCATCACAGGCGCAACAATCTCTCAATGCCTATAACTTTTTTCATTCAACTTAAATAATTTTCTTTTTCATTTACAAAAACAAAAAAAACTAATTATTCTTACAATTATTTATGTAGTTTAATATAATTGATCAAAGTCAGTTGCAAACATATCTGTGTAGCTAGCTAAATGTACGTAATTTCTGGCAGATAGGTAGGCTTGTTCACAAGTACAATTATTTGGCACAGTATATTATTACTTCCATTCGGTAGTGGTTAGTCCTATCATCTCCATATATACACCTAACCTTGGATCTTCATCAATAAATGCTTAAATATTAACCACATTCGTGGAATTTAGTAGTCTCCAAAAAAACAAGTAAAATAATTCATAGGTCTTGATGGAATAATATATAGGAGTATTAGATTAAATTAATTACCTTCTCTTGAATTTCCCGAGGTTGATGACGGGAGAGAATGAGCCACATCATGTGTTTTTTGAGATATGAGAATGCTACCATCCAGTTACGGGATGGTTCCAGTTGTGTTTTGTAGTCATAGGTTATCTACACATTATTAGATTACATGTATATTTACGGCTACAAAAGACAACGGAACCATCCCGCAACAGAATGGTAACATTCTTATTTGAAATATTTGTGCATGGCGACCCATCTATATATGTATGTGAACACGTGCGCACTAGAAGATTGAACCAAAAATTCTTTAAAAGCAGATTCAGATGAATTATTCAAAACAAATCATATATACATATATCTGACGCCTTTATTGAAAATTCAATGCCCGAGCTACAGAATATTAATACGAAAATATAATTATAGTCATCACTTACGTAACTTAGGACTTGATTGTTTATGAAATAATTTGTTCAAAATGAGTTATTTTGGTTAACCATAGTTAATTTTAAAAAGGTGGTATGGTTAGTTGTTAGTAAAATTTTAAGAATGTATTAAAATAATATGTAAAATAAAATGATTAAAATTGATTTGATTTAAAAGTAAAATATAAATGATTGAAAATGATTGAAAATGATAGGTAGTTAAATTATGTGAGTGGATGAATATTGAATTAAAGTTGATGTGATGTGTAAGAATGATTGGTTTGTATTATTTAATTATATGAATAATATTAAAGATTGTGGGGTTGAGTTAAAGTTGAGTTAAATTTTGAGTTGAAATAAAAATGAGTAAATTAACTTGTAAACAATCAAGCCCTTAACTTGCCCGGGATACAATTTATTACATGTAATAGTGATTCATTGTTATAGGGAGGTTAATTTTGCAGCCGATTGTTTGGTGATTCTAGCCCATCACTGTCCTAGTGGGTATGAACGGCTCCTAAATTCACCGTCGACAGTTAAATCGTAGTTATAACATGACTTTGTTGGCATTGCTTCCCCGCGGAGTATAATTGTCTAATAATTTTAGGTTTTCTGCCTCCTTCTTAGTACAAAAAAAAAAAAAAACGTACGATTTATAACATAATTATTGTAAATATAAATTTATAAAATAAACAGTTTTGGGTTCATGTTGTATGTTAACTTATGTCGGAAAAAATTCAAAACTAGTCCCACAAGTATATGGGATGACATTTTTGGTCCCAACGGAATGTAAAAAATATAAATAGTCCTACAACTTTTAAAAAACGATCAAAAGTAGGACTTTTTGCCGGATTTTACTGTTTTCAAGCCCGGAATACCACGTGGCGCACACGTGGCATATATTTTTTACACGCTGGCATCCGACGTGAATATGAAAAAAATCAAAACTAGTCCCACAGGTATAACAAGGTGACATTTTTGGTCCCACAAGTATGCATAAAATATGCAACAAAATATGCCACGTGTGCGCCACGTGGCATTTCGAGCCGGAAACAGTAAAATCCGGCAAAAAGTCATACTTTTGATCATTTTTTAAAAGTTGTGGGACTATTTATTTTTTTTTGCATTTCGTTGGGACAAAAATTGTCACTCCCTATACTTGTGGGGCTACTTTTGAATTTTTCCCACTTATGTAAGAGCAGCCCTAGTTACATGGACACTCAATTACCTTAGAACTTTAATTATTAGCGTCTTTGTTGTTGTTGTTATTATTATTATTATTATTATTTGTAAGAAACTGAGGGGAAAATGGAAAGCCCATATGAAGCCCAAGTGGGGTTCCATCCCAAAACCAATTGGTGAAAGGAGGAGTAGCCCATTAAACTTATTAAGTGGGTCTATTTTCCATGTGGGACAACTCACAAGTGATATTCTAACACGCCCCCTCACTTGTGAGTCTGATATCATGTCTCTAACCCAGGCACAAAGTGGACTCTGATATCATGTCTCTAACCCAGTCACTTGACACAAAACAAAGTGGACTCTGATATTCTGATATCATGTCTCTAACCCAGACACAAAACAAAGTGGACTCTGATATCATGTCTCTAACTCAGGCACAAAGTGGACTCTGATATCATGTCTCTAACCCAGACACAAAGTCGGTCGGGCTCTGATATCATGTCCATATGAAGCCCAAGTGGGGTTCCATCCCAAAACCAATTGGTGAAAGGAGGAGTAGCCCATTAAACTTATTAAGTGGGTCTATTTTCCATGTATTAACAATGTGGGACAACTCACAAGTGATATTCTAACATTATTATTATTATTATTATTATTATTATTATTATTATTATTATTATTATTATTATTATTATTATTATTATTGTTGTTGTTATTGTTATGGTTGACTCGCGTAGCATAATTATTTGACTAGTCAGGCCGTTACTGTTTCGAAGACTATAGGTAAAACATAAAGTTGCATTTGCGTGGAGGTTATATAAATAATTTGACAATAAAAATAAAATCTTTATTCGAGACGTGTAATTAATTTGAGTTTGAAAACGAAACCCTCACCTCAAAATGTAGTTCATGATCTTGTCTTGTATGAATTGTGCTTGCGAATGTGGATGCACGTGCTCGGATATCCTTGGGGGAAAACATCCCATTATACAAATTAACTTAAATTTCTAATAACATAAACTTGAGTATATATTGAGTCGATGATAGGGCTGTTAAACGTACCGAACGTCCGCGAATAAAATCTCGTTCGAGTCGTGTTAGATAAGAACTTGTTCGTTTGTTAATCGAGCCGATTTAAAACATTAAATTAGATTTGTTTAATAATCAAAAGAATACGAGCTCATTCGTGAACGTTTTGTAGTCTCCGCGAATATTCATTGAATATATATATATATTTGTAGTTTCGTGTTAATAAAACATATATATAAAGTTTGTGTTCTGAATTATTCGAACATGAACGAACTCAAACTCTGACGACCAATTTAACAAACGAGCTCGAAATGATTTTTTGCTCGAAAATAAGTGAACGAATACGAATAATGTTCGAACATAGACAAACACGAGTTCGAAACGCCCAAACTCGGCTCGTTCGGTTCGATTCCAACACTAGTTTAGAATAGAATATGTGAGCATGTACCTCCAACCCATAAACCAAACTTCTCATCGTTTTATTCTTCCAGCCCAGATCATCATCTTTGATTAACTCCGAAGCCCAATAAGATAACCACCCTTAGCCCAACACCGATTAGGCCTCTTTGCCTCACAAACGAGCAACACCACAGGTCCACAACCACGTCATTCAATCTTCAAGTTTTCTCCTTCTTCTTCTTCTTCTCCCTGTTCCTCACACACGCACCATTACTCCAAAATAAAATTCGCACAGCCTCTCCCATGGCTCCGGCCATTTGCTTATATTAATAATTATCTATATTTGTAATTATATTAGTTTAGATTTTATATTCTTATTTTATATGGTGTAAAAATATTTTGTTTTATATAGGAAAAAGGCATAAGGCCAAAAAAGTTAGAAAACAATCCAAGCTCGAAACGCAGGTCTAATGGCGAGTTCAAGGATACCGTCTGTGTCCCTCTTTGGCTCGAAGGCGCCAGTTAAAAGATCATCAGCTACCTCCAATTTTCTGCCTGGTTTCAGGTTTAAACTACATTCTGCAATTTTATTTATGTAATATTGTCGATGTCTCCAGTTGACGAGTATTTATTATACTTGCGTTTAGCTGTTCGTGCCCACATTTTGTTTCTGATATTTTTATTGACCAAAATGTTCTTTCGGATTTCATTGATAGCAACATGATCTCAAAGACTTATCGAGCTGGCAGAATTACCTGTGATTATTCCTGTTTCGAGGTAAGTTTGAGTTCCCTTCATCGTTCATTTTCGCTCTTTTTCCGCAGTCCAGTCGAGCCCGTCGTTTTCCTAAAGCTAATTCGTACGCGTCTTGTAGCTTTGCTTTATGTGATTTTGTAATTACTACCTGTTTGGAGTTTGGACTATGCCATGTAATTTCATGGGAAGATATGGAAGAGCCCACACTAGTGAGAAAATCCCACGAGCTTATAGTAATGAACTATAATTATTCATTTCTGAACATTTCATGTAAGTTATTGTGATACCAATTACATTAGTAGTATTTAGAACTGGTATGCGTGTCTGCTTGTGCGATTTGTAATTACTGTGATATATATATATATTTCACTCATGCATAAAAGTTGAATTGAAGTTTTGTTAAACTTATTTAGCATCTGGAATAGAAGTTGCTAGGACTTCTCTTTACCAATTGGATATTTGCTGGCTTATATTGTTTTGTGCTCATTCCAGCTTAGATGTCTTTTGTCAGTTCCTCTATTTTGGTTCTGTTGTATTTTTAATTTTTAAGATTTGTACCATCTTCTGTTTACCAGCAGGTTTTTAAGATTCACTGTATACTGTAATACATCACGATTCCCTGCTCCTACTGTCTGTCGCAGATAAAGGGTTTAAGCTATCGACCTCCAGGAACCGAAATTGATCTTCTGAATGGAGTTAGTTTATCCCTTCCTGAGAAAAGGTACTTTTCTTAAAATTAGAAAATAAGGGCTGACCAGGTGCCTAATATTGTGTTCAAAATTTTCAAGCAAGTTGATAATGAAGCACACTTATTTAGACACGAACAACTCCATTTTTCATTTAGATCCTTAATTTTGTACTAATTCTTTCTTGTTATGGGTAGCTTTGGGCTGATTTTTGGACGAAGTGGAAGTGGGAAAACTACTCTTTTACAGGTTCACCTCTAAATATAGAAGACTCAACTTGAATAGAGTGTATCACCCTTTCGGATGTTGGTTTCAATTCTGTTTCAAATGTTTGACTTGTTGAGCAGCTAATTGCTGGGTTAAGTAAACCAACATCAGGCTCAATTCACGTTCAAAGATATGGTGATGATGGTCAGCCGAAGCAGTCTCCAGAACTGTTGCAGCCTGGAAGAGTTGGTATTGTTTTCCAGTTTCCTGAAAGGTAATCTACATCCCGTACAATTAGTTATTTTATTAATCTTCATCAGTCCTCTTTCTTCTTTTTTTTTTTTTTTTTT